GCGGGGAGAAAGGCAGGTGGGGGCCCGCTGCTGGAGCTGTACGGGTGGCACTGGCCACTAGATGGCACGGAGCGGCGAGGGACCGGCAGCCCCGGTTGTTTACTCCGGGGAGGCCGGAACAAGGAAGCGAGGGAGCCTGGCTCCATCCCTTCCTGCATCCCGAGCCAAGGAGCAGGAGGCAGAGCCAAAGCAGGGTGGGGTTTGCCGGGTGTTTTTTGGAAGAAGGACTGTTTCTGTCTTGTCTTGTGCGCAGAGGACTTGTCTGTACAGGCAGCGTTGCCCCAAATAACTCCTGGGGTGTGGGGGGGATCCAATTATTTCCTCCCAGGAGAGGAGGAATGAGGCGTTCTCGTTTAACCCACTCCTCTGGGACACGACAGACACCTCATCCGCGTGCTGCCGCTTGAGAATCGCTGGGCTCAAGCGATCCCATCTGCAGCCAAGCCCTGACAGAGCCGCCGCCAAGCCGGGGCTGTGGTGGCGGTGCAGAGGGAGGCGGGTCCCCATCCCCGCCCCCAGCTCAGTTGTTGTTCAGCTTCGACACTCAATTCCTATTCCCACAGCCGCCCTCGGTATGCGGGAGGTGAAGCCCTGAGAGGTTACATCCTAGAAAAGCCCTGAAACTTCATTAAACAACGAAGAAACAAAATATAGCGACAACTGCTCCGTAAATGGGCACCTGAAATCTTTCTTTTTTTATAAATACATGTATATAATCTGTAAGCTCCTGATTTTTCCACAGCCGCGGTTGCCGTGCTCTAGTAGCTCCCACCCAGCATCCAGCTGGCTCCAAACCCGCCCCGCTGCTCCGTCCACACCCCAGAGCAGTGAAGGCAGGCGGCAACTCCCAGCTGAGGCTGCTGGAGAAGAAACCCGGCCGGGCTCACGTCTCTGCTGCAACTGCCTTTTTCTTAACAGAGTTTGTTGTTCGTAGCTGTTGTCATTTACCACACCGGCCTCTCTAATCCCACTTTCAATTCCTTTCGTATACGAGAGGGGAAGGTGCTTGTTTCCTCAGCCTCTTCTTCCTTTGTTTTCTGCGAGGGTTAGAAGCAGTTGTGGAAAAATGGAAGCTACAGTTACTTGTGGCTGAATGCCCTCCCCTCCCAGGTTGTAGGGCTATGTGTTTTGGAGGAAAAAACCCCACCATTTTTTGCAACTAGCTAGAGAAAAATGCTTTCAGAAAACATTGGCGGAGCTGTCACGCTCTCCAGAAGTGATGAAAATATTCAAAATGCCCCAAAAGTCCCACAAAAGCACCTGGTTTTGTTTGTAGCCTAACACATTGCTCCCCAACAGGATGGAGACAAGTTCTGGAGGATGCCAGAGTGCTACATTCGTGGCAGCACGATTAAATACCTGCGTATCCCCGATGAAATTATTGACATGGTGAAAGAAGAGGTGGTGTCCAAGGGCAGAGGCCGTGGTGGGATGCAGCAGCAGAAGCAACAGAAGGGCCGTGGTGTTGGAGGTGCTGGACGAGGTAACGATCCTGTTTGTTTTTCAGCTCAGAGAGGGATCCCTGCCTTTAAATTTCACCTCTTGTGCAAGGGATGGCTCTTGCTTCTTGGCTTTGAACCCAGGGCTGGGTGTCTGGGAGAAGCTGGAGCCGCTCCTGCACGAGATCTTGTCAAGCGAGTGCGTTGCCTCGCTTGTTGGGCAGCCTCTGCCAAAGAATAGGAAGGATTCGTGCCAGGGATGTGCCTCCCTCATTACTGGGGCTGGGCAGGAGCTTAAGAGTCTAAACTCGGCCAATTCTACCCCTCCTGGCTCATTCAGGAGCACGGCCCTGCAAAATTGGTGTCTGTTGGTTTAGCGAGTCTGGGAGAGAAACAAATGGCTGTTCTGTTTGAAAATAGACTGGGCTCTGACCACGGCAGTGATAGAAAAACATCATCTTTTCTCCTGTTATAATGGGGCTTTTGATCTCCTGACTTGTTGATTTATTTATTTAAAAAAAAAATCTGAGGGTTTGTGTTCTTCCTGCTCAACACGAATTCATGTTTCTGCTGTTCAGGAAGAAACAGGTCCCCAGACAGCTCTTCCTTCCCTGTCTGACTTCATGCAGTTGGGGGATCTCTCAGCTGGGAAAGTTTTGCTCTTTTCTCCCCAAACTCTCCACCTGGAAGCCCAGAGCCATTCCTCTCCTGCTCATCCTCCCACCACGTCTTTGTGATTCGCGTTGTGGTCACCTTGCTCAGCTCCGGGGCTGCTCAGGACAGGCTTGCCCTGCAGTAGCAGCTTAAAGTCGCGAGTGCGCTCGGTTGCTATGGCAAAATTGGGTTTGGCCAGGGAAAGCTTAGGTTTTAAAAGCCTTAAGGAGCTGCCTGCGTTATGACGATGCAAGGCATGGCTGGAACCTACATCAGGACGTGCGGCATCTGCAACTCCCAGGGGCTTCTGTAGGAAAATCCTCTGTGATTTCTGCTGCCTCTGCTACCTCCTGGGAGCTCTGAGCATGCAAAAGTGACCTTTACAAATCTGAAGGCGCCTTTATTTTCCCTCCTTCCCTTTGCCGTGTCCAAAGGCCTTGGCATAACAGCTTTCTGGGATATGGTTATTTGGACAAATGCTGTAGCTGAAATATTTTCTCTGCTGTGGAAATATCCACCTTGTGGAGAGCGGAGCTGAGCTCTATTTGAGGTGGAGTTCCCTGCTGTTTTGATGTGCAGCTTAAATTCGCTGATGGAATATTTTAAAGGGAAGCTTTGGCATTTGCTAATTAGCTAAAAGGTTTGGCCCTCATTACTGAGACATGAAGGTAGGAGAAAAGAAAGAAAGAAAAAAAAGCAGGACAATTTTGTCTGGAGGCCAGCAGGCAGAAGGAAAGCTATAATTGTGCATGCAGTTGAAAGGATTATTGTTTCTGACACTGGTAATCCTTCGTCTTCTACTTCTGGGCTCGCCAAATTCAGAAGTGTGACAGCCTTTGCCCCTCTGGGAGCAGCTGGAGTCATGTGAGCATCCCAGGGGCTGCAGGGTCCGGAGCAATTCCTTTTCCCTCTGGTTTAGGGTCATCTCCTCGGTGGAGCGAGCAGAGCAGAGGGCTCTGGAGCCCAGGATGGGTCTTCTTGGGCTCTGCTTTTTGTGCTGAGGTGGCTGGAGGGGCAAACCCACGGCCCCTTTATCGCCTGCGCGGCGAGATTAAAAATTATGGCGTGGAATTGGGGTGAATCTGAGCAGGGAGGGGAGGGGAGGGTGAGGGTGGGCTCAGCAGCTCCCACGACAAAGACAGTCACATCTTTTGGGTACGAGGGTGCTCGTGTGTGTCTTCCTTGGTTCCATTTTTCAGAATAAGTTGGTTTGATGATGATTACACATTAACACCCTGGGGAGACATCACTGAACGTGCTGTGGGGATGAGTTTATGCACGTCATGAATATGGGGTCCAGAACGGGCAAGGGAGAAATCTAAAAATCCCATTTCTGTTTCAAAGATGAGAAAACGGGTGCACGTCTGGGTAAAACAAGGGTAAAGCTCTTTTTGGGTGATGGTGTTGGTTATGCTGATGCCGTTGTATTCTGCTCTTTCTCTCTGCCCCGCAGGTGTGTTTGGTGGCCGTGGCCGAGGAATTCCGGGCAGCGGAAGAGGCCAGCAGGAGAAGAAGCCGGGCAGGCAATCGGCGAAGCAATGAGAGGCTCCTGTGCCCCGCGATGCAGCTCACGTTTGATCACCTCAGGATTGCCACGTGTTCAAAAACGTTCCTTTTCTACTCCTCCGTCAGTTGATGAGTGCCCGAATCACGTAATTTGGAAACCCTCGCTATTTAATGTGGTAAAGAGGAGCTGTTCACTCCTCGTAGTCAGCAAGTCATTGGAAATACTTAAAGAAAGTCCCAGTTAAGGCCCTAAGCTCTGCCTTCTCCTGAGAGTGAAAGCACTATTTAATTTGCCAGGGTCACCAGGTTTAATTTAAAATACTGTCCCACACAGTGGTGTGAGAATGAAGGCAAACGCTTTCTGGGCTGTTTGGAATTTTTCTTTTATACTTGAAACTTGGATAACTCGTTGCATTTGTAACAGATGTGTGTGTTTTGGTTAAAAAACACTGAACTTGAGGATATTGTATCTTTACAGGAGTAGTCTTAAGGGTTTGTTTGGTTGGTTTCTTAAGAAAACAACAAACTTTTAAGCTATTGCTTATCCTCTGTTTCTGGCCAGTCAGTTCTGTCTCTCCTGTGAACTAAAGAACTGGGGATGAATGTTGCATTGGCCTTCGAGGGTTTTTTCCAAGAGAGCTTTGTGATTAATGAGGGTTTCCTAATTAGTGTGTTACTAATTTGACTTCAGATTAGAAGTATCCTTTAAAGAAAAGGATTTTCTGTGTTCTCTTCTAGAAGGCTGACGTGCCCCTTACTCTTTATGATTTGTTTTTCTTCTGCAAAGCAACCGAGCTGTTGATTTATTTCCCCCCCCTCCCAATTTGAAATCTCCCTTGTGCCCCGAGCTCTGACAGTGTTTCTCAAGCTTATTTCTTGTACCTGGTGACTGACTTCACGTACGTACTCAGCATTTTCTTTTCTCCTCACTGATGATCTTTCCCCGAGGATGCAGAACCACGTGTGAACCTGTCCCTTCTGTAGGGTGAGGAGGCTCCGGTGATTCCCAGGTTGAGCTGTTCCAGTCTTCCATGAGGTGCAGGGTCCCATGAGCAAAATGCACTCCCAAAATATCCCAGCTGATCTGAATTTAATGTCTGCATGGGGGGAGAAAGAGGCTCACCCCCCTGAATGGATGAAATAGTTTAATTTTGGGGGAAAATCTGATACTGTGACTTGTTCTGAACTGTTTTCTTTTGGGGTTTTTTTGCAACTGAAGCCTACTCTCTGCCATCACCACTGTATTGAGAAGGAGTAAAGAACATGCTTTTATAGAGACTTATTTTTTTAATGTTTCTAGAACTTGTGCGCAGTGGTGAGTAGGAATAAATCGCCAACCTGTACTGAATGAGTCCCGGTCTCTGTCTGCGATGGCTCTGAGCCCTGCCTGCCCCCACAGCCACCCGGCCTCACCTAAACCTTAAGCCCCGGTATCAGTAATAAATCCCCAAACAGATGAGCTAAACCTTTAGTTTCTAATAGCAGCCGCTGTTCCCCACGGCTGCTTCTCCTCATCGAGGCGTTCACCAGCAAATGCAGCTCTTGGTTCCCCTCCTGGCTGAGCCGGTGTCTGCCACAGAGCCAAATCCAGGCACGGGGAATGGGGCACACGTGTCCTCACTCCTGGAAACTCGCTCTCGCCGTAAACACCCGGGTGGCATTTGCACAGGGCCAGGGCTGAGCCGTGTCAGACTTTCCCTTCCCTTCCCAACCTGCTCCCTCCCTCGCAGGTCCCTCCAAGCCGCAGAACATCCACGTGTTATGGCCGTGCTGGTGGAAAGGGAAACGGCCGTGGCGCTGTCTGGATTTCAGGTCTGCTCTGGCCGGATCGATATTCACCGCAACAACAGGACCTTTGGTTTCAGCGCGGGGTAGAGTCCTCCACGAACGCCTTGTGTCCTCGGCGTTGGAGCTCGTTAAGTTCTGCTTTCGTTTAATTATAACCACGGGCTTTAGCAGCCTTCCCCACTTCCGTTTTCCACCTCTGTAAGAATATTTCTGCGCAGCCCCTGCAGGAGGTTGGGTGGAAGATGGCTCCGCGTGTGAGCGGCAGCGAGCCTGCGGCTTTGGGCCTTTTTGCCCCAGAAAGGGGTGTCTGGGGCTGTTGGGTGCTCCAGCCCTGCCCCGTGGCAGCGCAGGGAATAAAAACCAACAAAATGGGGAGGAGCGAGATAAGAGCAACAACCAGAGGAGGAAAAAGGCCTGAGCTGCACTGCCAGCGTGGGTGGGTGTGTGCAGCCAGGCAGGGTGACGGCATCCCAGCTGGAAAAACGGGCTGGTTTGGGGGGAATGCAGCAAAGCCCACCCTGGAGACCCTTTCCCATGCCATTTTCATGGTGCCCAGGCCCACGGCAGCTCTGTGGGGCCATGTCTTTGGTGCTGGCGCTGCGGTGACTCATAACTGGTGGTGAAAAAAGGCAGCGCGGGAATAGTTACACAGCAGCCGCCTGCAACGCGGAGGGAGTGGCTGCCGAAATATTTCAGGGCTGCGCTAAGCAACTAAAAATACACATCAAACCCTCCTCCTTTTTCCTTTTAAAATCTGTTTTCTTTTTCTTTCTTTCTATTTTTTTTTTAATTCTTGTTTTTGATTGTTGGAGGCCCCTCGGGGACCGGTGGCACAGATTTGGGGGCAGGCGCTGGTGGCTGGTGACTTCTTGTTTTCTCAGTTCCTCTCTCCCTGCAGCGATGGCAGAGGCGGCTTCCCCAGTGCCCACGGGGCAAATCCGGGGGTGCCAAACACTTTCCTGCTCCCTCCCTTTTCGGGGGGCAGGGGGATGCAGGCACAGCTGCAGTAGCTTGTGTGCATCTTGTCCACGTCCTCAGTTGAAGCCATGGGTGTCACTGTGTCCCCTGGCCAGAGCAGGATCTGGTGTGATGGAGCTGGTTGCATTCAGGGAATGGTCCCGTTGAGGCCAGGGAAATGGGGAGAACCGGAGTTGTGAGGATGCTCTGGCGAGCGCAGCCTTGCTCCAGGCTCTTCGTGCCTCGCTGAGGTCCGGCGCTGGCAGCGTGGGTTCATCCGAAATCCTTGGTGCCCGCTCTGGGGTAAATATAGCCCAGCTGGCAGCTGGTGAGGCGCTGCGTGACTCAGTGGGCACTCAGGGCCGAGCTGGGCTCCGGCACCTCCAGGAATAGCAGCTCCATCTGTGGTGACAGTGGCACTGCCACCGGCCCTGTGGATGGGGACAGCCCTGCTCAGGCTCCCCACGGGGCTGCTCTCCAAGGAGGCGGAAGGGGCTGCTGAATCACAGCCCTCATTAAATGCTCATTAAGAAAATGAAGCTGCTGGCACACTGCAGGCATCGGGCTGCCACCGGCGAGACATCTCACGGTGACTTAGGTTTGGGGATGAGGGCCACGCAGGATGAGTCCTGGGGGTGATGGGAACATGGCAGGACTGTGACCCTCGGGGGTAACACCAGGGGGGGTGGCAGTGGGGTTTTGCCAGCAGCAGTGGCTGGGCCCAAGCGTGGCTTGTGGCTCACATCCATGGCCACAGGCCAAGCTGCTCTTCCAGGGGGGCCCCCGCCAGCTGGTGCTGGATCCCATCGCACTGGGGGCTGTGGGGTGCGTCCCTGGCCAGGTGGTCCCTGTGTGGTGCCAGAACAACGGGAGCTGCCCCCCCAGTCCCTGTTGTCCCCCCTCAGTCCCTGTCCCTTGCCAGCCACATTTCATGAGGACGGAAAGTCTGAACCTGCCGGTCTGGCCGCACCCCTAATGATGGGGTTTGTGGCGGAAAAACGCGGACGGTGGCTTTACCAGGGCCCCCCGCACCCGCTGAGCCCCTGGGGACACCGACACCACTGCTCCCCTCTGGGTCAGGACACCGGGGGCAGGAGGACCCCAGGCACGAGGCTTGGTCACGCTCTTGGTTTACTTGGGGTTTAATCAACTGCGTTTAATTAACTGCAGCTGTTGGGGGAGAGGAGGGCCCTGTTGGTCTCTGCCCTGTCATGCCTCAGTTTCCCTGGGGGCTGTCCCAGCTCTGTTTTGGATGTCACCTGTGTCTTCTGTGGCCCTGTGCTGTCCCATGCTGTCCCCACGCCCACACCGGGAGGGCAGAGGGCATGGTGCCAGCACAGCACCGGCACAGCCATCACCTCCGGCCTGGGCCCACC